GTGTTTTCTTTGTATAAGACAAGCGTTTGTCTTAAAGTACCTTAAGTCAGACAAATATTAGGTTGAATAATTATACAAAAGTTTCAAAAACGAGCAAAAGTCTTATGGATTTGGAACAACATGAGGGTGATGAATTCATATGTGGCTAAACTAACCCTTTAAAAGGATAATTTATCACCAATGTCTGCTATTTGTGATGGGCTGCTCTAGTTATTACCTCTGCATCCTCACCGAAGAACCTGTACTTGTAGCCACACTCAACGCAAAGCACTGTGTCCGCATGTTGTTTTTTGATCTCCATGTACTGTTCCTCTAGAGGAGTGTATATGGTCTTGGTTCTCCTGTTGGGAACACCAGGCTCTTCTGAACTCTTTTTGATCACAGTATTCTTAGCAAACTGACTAAAGGAAAACTCCTGAAAACAGAAAAAGTAAAAACATCAGCAGTTATAATGGCCATTCTGGCAAACACTGAGAATGAGATTAGCTGTGTTTTCTTTAAGTGGCAAATCAAGTACTTCATAAACATGCGATCTGACAAACAACAGTCTTTCAACGGTCAACTCTGAAACATACAAGTTTTGTATAGAATCAAACCTGTTTAATCTTAATAGGCTCTTCTTTGACCTCTTCCACCAATTCATTGTAGGAATTCATTACACTGTGTTGTTGTTGGGCAGAACTCTCAGCTTTTGCAGAGTCTGAAGGTTCCACTTCCATCCTTATAACCTGATCGGAGACTCGGCTCTCTGAGCTCCCGGGGCAGCTGAAATCTTTAAGCCTCGACAGGGTGGCATGGCTGACACTGGCTCTTGAGGATACCATCTTATCTATCGCACATAAAAGAGAAAGAAAATTAAAAAGAGGCTAAGAGGTTAATACACAAGCAAGAATTACAGTCAGTAGTGCACTGTTGATCATGTACTGTACTTTTGTTTTCATGCCTTACAAACCTAAACATTTTATTTTCTGATGTTTGAAATGCTGTCTTTATTAAATAATAGCTTTTACTGAGTTAAGTTATTCGATTTTTTTTTTTTCCCAAGAACTACCGCCGATATTAAACATTTTTATGGTTACCCATATCGGTCATTTTCAAAAACAATTTGCTGACAAAATTCATACACATTTAAAGAAAGTTTTTGTCAGAGCCTTTTTTTGTCTTAATTTTTTGACATTCATTTTCATTATTACACCAGGCATATATATATATATATATATATATATATATATATATATATATATATATATATATATATATATACACACTATATATATCGCATATGTGTGATCTG